TTCTTGGCTAAATATGTGAAGAGTCTTAAATGTTTCTCCTCATTGGATTTTCACTTACGCCGATGTCTACATAAAAATATTATTTCATTAGGTTAAGCTTTGTTTTTCATATAATTATCAAAAATATCGTTGTTTGTTAGTATATGAATTATTCAAATCCACTTGCAATCCATGAGATTAAAAATTAGATTAGAGTGTAAGTCGCTAAGGTGATGATGGGTGACGAAAATTGGTGCAAAGCTCTCGATATCCGCGAACATCAAAAAAAGTTGAAGAGAAATTGCGAATGAATGCATATTTAGTATTAGCTAAAGGATAAGATAGCGCCTCTTGTAAACAGCAAAAGGAATGCACTGCTTCCATTATAAACATTCTTACATTACGCTTGACGGACGAAATTTCCATATGTAGGGAATCTGGTTTTTTTTTTACTATTAATTGCCTGAAGATGAAAAAATTCTATTAAGTTTTATCGATAATTGTCACTATTTTCATTTTTTTGCAAAGATAGACTTGCCCTACTTTCAAAATAAACGTCTCAATATATATATATATTGGAACTAATTGCCCTTAACATGTAAAAGTATATGATATATATTTTTTTCTTTTTTGTTAGGCAAACATACCGAAGATATTTACGCATATACTCGGTCATTTGATTTCCTCTTGTGAACTCAACCTATTGAACTCAAATGAATTGTGTGCCATTCGCCACCCGTTTGCTTAAAACTATCTTTCTTTAATGTGAAAATATCAAAAGGAATTTTTTTTTCTTCGCATGTATGCAACCAATATTTTCACTTACTTGCAGCGGTTCAGTTTCAATTAACGAGTACGATTGTTTGCGCACAAATCAATTGCGTGTGAGCCTACCTATCATTAACAATTAGTTCTAACTTTTTTTTCTCTTTACGTATATATATTTTAACGCTAGAAGTATAGAGTAGGTCGCTTTGAGTCAATTTAGCTTTTGATGCTTGTCATGAAGCATGCAGAGAGCAGCAGAGCAAAAAGGCTTTTTCTTTCACGTTTTCTACAGGCGCCTGCACCTATCTATCTCATCATTCTTTCACATATCATCAAAATATTTTTCATAATTTTCAACAATTTTTCGCATCTTTCTGGCAACATGGCATGACATCGGTCTGGCAGTGATTCAATCATCGGTCCGCTTTACCATTTCTTCAGCATTTCGAAACCACGTATCTGCATCGATCTGAACAGGCGGTATTTAGAAGCCGCTACATCTGGTGACTACGCTGAATGCGGCTGAACTGCCCATGCGAACTACAAGAGTATATCCTTCACAACTCGTCGTAAGTATGACCGAGCGTTGTCATGCAAGGGTTTGGCTTCGTACCTATTAATCGTTATTGCTAGTGTCTTTAGTGGTGGTATCCGTCTTCTCACATCTTTCACATCGCATGGAAATGCGTCTAGAAACATTTCCAAGCAATTGTTACTGATATTTATAAGGATATGCGTGATCGGGATCAAATTGGTTCTGACGCTTTAACAAATACGCCCAAAGTTAACGGCTAAATTATTGAGTTTGTGTGCATATCTCGTTTTATATTTATTGAGATATTTTTGATACGATCCTTGATATAATTTGTGTAAATGATATAATAAAGTTTCAAGTAAACGGTTTTTTTTTTTTTTTTTTTTTTTTTGTGGCACTTTCTGATTATATTTATAATTATTAGAGGGATGGTTTCCTACTACATGTTTTACTAGTTGAACACAGTGTATCACAACGATATTTTTTTGCATCTTACCTTGGAAGTATAATACGCTGCAGTTCTCTTACATAATACAATTTGGAAGCTTAAGCGTTTAGATGGATATTCTTAGACTTGGGAATAAAAATTCTTTTCTACTTATATTATTAGTGGTTTGTCGGTTTGTCGCACTCTATTTCCAATTCGCATAAAGAATTCGATAAAAACCCAAGCGAACTCAACGATAAGTTCTCGAATCATTTTGTGTTTTTCTTGAAAGGTACGATATTAGATGGGACTGGGAGCTTCTTCAGATTCGTGTTAACGTTAAAAGAAGTGTTGCTGTTACTTCAGCTGCCATTTGATTTCTTGCTTTTTCATTCTCATTATTTTATTATAGGTTTCTTACTATGACGTCACATATTTTAAATGTGAAATTTTTACAAAGCAAGAGTGTACAAGCACACTTCCATGCTCCTTAAGTGTTTATATGCTCTAAAAGTACATGCTATACGTATGAACTATGCAGGAAAGAAAAAACCAAAAGATGTCTTACCAAATATAATATAATTTGTTTTCATCGTTTGTATTTGCAACTCACACTGAAGAATACTAAATTATACGTTCGTTAGACGATTTAATATATTTAAGCGTAAAATTACTTTAAGCCGATGAAGACACGTTTCCTAATTGGGAAAAAATTACATTGTAAGAGTAATTTACCTTCATTTAGTATATAAGATAAATCGGTCAAGGATTGCAACAACAAAGCTCTTATCGAAAATTCGTATAAGCGATGGCGGTGCACTTGCTGCACAAGCATCGTCTATGATAAGTCAATTTTTCGTTACCGCCATTTCCTAACATCTATCTAACTTATGTTTTTTTTTGGATAACATTCCCTTCGTAGTGTTATCGACATATTTCAAAAAAAAAAAAAAAAAAAATCGTCGTTACGGTATTATTAATAAGGCGGTTTTTCTGTAATATTTTACTGAATGAAAATTTCGAACAGACTTTCTAAAGCAAGGTCACGCTGGGTCATGAATACTAAACACTTGGCATAGTATGTTTTGTTCAAGATATCCATTTATAAAGTATAACCCGATATATACCTCGGTGCGTGTTGTTTCGCTTATTTCGTTAGAGACATTTCAGACATGTACCTGCTTCAATTTCACACTCGGTGCATAAAAACTTCTTCAGCAATGATTCCAATGACTGCAAGCGCACACATCTTTCTTCAATCGGCGCGTGTAACTTGCTTGCTATTTCTTTTTATTAATCGGTGGTCTAATCTAAAAACTTATCGCCGTCTTCCCTTTAGAATTTCTTCGTACTTTTTACAACAACAAATTCGACGTGGCCATTATATGACATCCCATGCGAAGAAACAAACGTATTTTTCTGAAGGAACTAAAATGTATCCGTCGTTAGAACGACTAGAAAAAGTCACGAGTACACGAGTATTTAAAGATAAACGCACCTTAACTCTATTCTATACATTTTTAATCATTTTTATAGAAAAAAAGTTGATCGCGTCTTCCGAGTGAACAACTTTGCTTTCAATGAAATTTGATTTATATGAAATCGAATATGCGCACGGAATTTAAGTTAGTTGAGATTTGAGCACCGCAAGTAAACAGCGTCAAGTTACATCTTGTTCTGTTAGTATAAAAATGTCGAGGATATTTGCTCCATTGTATGTATGGTAAGTAAGGCAACAGAGTTCATTCTCATCGAAAACAATGTAACAATGAAAAAGAGAAATAGATTGTAAACTAGTTTTTTATTGTGATCGTGTTCTCGTTGGCCGAACGAAATTTTTATGTAATTTCTAGATTACTTTTCCTATTATATTAGCGTAAGTTAAGGTGGTTGTATCCTTAGATCAATTCCACGATCTTTCTTTAAGCATCGCCCCAAGTATTTATTTCAAGTTTTACAACAATATCGGCTTCCGAATATTAATTAAAGTTTTGCCTTCATGGGCGTGACCACAGGGTGAATCTGATCTACTTTACGTTAAGGATATACATGCGAGGTTTCAGCATTTTGCTATCATTTGTGTGACCGGTAACGTTCCAACAACAATTGGACAATAGATAGACGGACGGACAAACGCGTAGAACTAAGTTGATTCAAAATTTTACACCGATCATATATGCACGCATAAATTTTATGTGATAGCGAATAATGATTGTCGAGGTTCACATGCGGTACACTCCCGTTTTCTTTAGTCATTTGAAAATATTCGCGCTATTAATTGATTCAAAAATTGCATAGGCTGGACAGACATTCTGAGTAGGCGTACGATAAGAAAGGCGAAACTTTACAAAGACACAATGTCAAATGGCCATTAATTCATCAAATTTAGGCATAGATTGGCGCTACTTTGCGAACAGAAATTCATGAGATTCGATGATGACGTAACGAAAACGAAAATTACAAGAAACAAAATTCGACCATTGACAATGTATAGGCTACGGATTCGCGCTTCGTGTTATCCCTTATGCTTGTTACATTTTTTTTTTTTTTTTTTATTTAAAGTTTTACATTAACAACGTAGCTTATGGCGATTTAGCAAAATTAGCTTAAGGGTAAACGCATATTCTCACTTTAAAATGTAACTTTTGACTATGATTTTACTTTCGTAGGTTCGGCGAGTACTGTAATGAAATTCATGTACTTTTTCTCTTTTATGCATTTATTTAATATTTGCTTTGCTTACCTTGTATGGTCGTACAAAGAATCCACAAACTTGACTTCGTATATTTTGTAATGAAGGCACCGTCGTCCATAGCGTTAAAATTGGCGGTACCGTTGTAATTGACATTCGGCAATTTCTCTTCCGTGAATAACCACTGGGGTCCAGCTAGAGCGGCAATAACAATGGCTACCGAAATGCTGTGGAACAAATGTTGTGAAAGTACAACAAAATGTAATGGAATGTTGTTTTTTTTTTTTTTCTATTCTTCAAACATACGAACAAACAATAAAACTAAAATAAAAAGTAACTTTAAAAATGAATAAATTTAAAAATTGAAATAAAAAATAAATAAATAAATAAATATATAAATAAATAAATATATAAAATATAAAAAAAAAAAAAGAAAAAAAAAAGAAAAACCAAAAATGAACAGCAAAAGCATACGAGCTGTAAATTTATGTTACGTCTTGGTTAAATGCTCTTGAGCATGTTCTTGTGCTAAAAAATCGTATTAAATTTAATAAACAATAGAAGATAGAAAAAAAAAAAAGAAAGAGGAAAAGGAAGAGCGAGAAAGAGAGAGAGTGAGAGAGAGAGAGAGGAGAAGCATTTGAAAGCAACTATATTACTGTAAGCGCGCGCACTTACATTATACACACACACACACACACACACACACACACACACACACATATATATATATACATAAGCTTCTATGCACATACGTACATACGTACATACGTACACACCTTGTTCAAGTCAAAAATTGGAATTTTTTTTTTTGCTTCTTTCTTTAATGAATTTTTGCTTTTTTTTGTTTTTTTTGTTTTTTTTTTTTGGTTTGTAGTGGTCGCAAGGGTAGAGTATTACACAGTGTTATAAATATTTTTCAGTTTTCATTTTTAAACTCGCTCGTAATAAATAGAATTTTTTTGCGTTTACAAACAAACGTATTTATTAAACATACGCGCATATATACATATATACATATATCTAGAAAAGAATATATGTAGAAATTTTTGTTTTTTTTTTTTTTTTTTCTTTTTCTTATTTTTTTTTTTTTTTTCGGCTATCGTGTATATAGCCCTTATCCTGTGAATTACGAAATCTATGTCAGACAAAATGACTACGCGGCACGGAAACATGAAAATTTTTAAGCAAAAGAAACGCAACGAAAACAGTTAGTTGGCCAGTTATTAAATTTATTTACATCCGTAGTTTCTTGTTTTTTTTTATGAAGTAGAGCAAAGGATTTTATAAATTTTTTGAACTTGTCAATAGGAATGAATTTAATATTTCACTGGTAACGAACCGCTGGATGCCGCTGATAAGCTTAAAATTTTTACATCAATTCTATCGCGTAACTGTGCAAGAGGAACAAATCTGAGCCGCGATTATTGAATAATTTTCAAAGAAAACAAATTTTCTTTAAGGAACAAATTGAGTAAATAAAACTCAGGATAACTATAGGTAAACTGATATGATAGAGTTTCTTATTAAGGGTGATTGGAGTTGAGGTTAATTTTTTTAGAAATGCTGTGAATCGCTGTGTATTGTAAGCTATAAAGGTATCTTATTGTATCCATTCAACAGCTTTGCTATGCTAGAGGGAGAATATTCGACGGAAACGTAGGAAATATATCATCGAAATACAATCCGCTTGGAATGAAAAGGTTTCGACCTTCGGCAGAGAATTTCTTATTAAGAGTGTTTCGAGTTGAGGTTAATTTTTTTAGAAATGCTGTGAACCGCTTTGTATTGTGAGCCATATAGGTATCTTGTTTCCATTTCCATTCAACAACTATGCTAAAGGGAGAATATTCGACAGAAACGTAGGAAATATATCATCGAAATACAATTCGCTTGGAATGAAAAGGTTTCGACCTTCAGCATAATTATAATGATGATACAGGTTTGGTTAGGGCCTGTTGCGCAGCACCGATGACATTTGGAGAAAATATTTTATTAAAGTTAAGAACGCTATCACTGACCGAAAATGGAGCGTAAAAATATGTTTACTATAAATGAATGTGATTTCATATTCCATTAGTAAAATGGTATGCGATGATAAATGCGCTAATTACCTCTACACTATCCGTTATCTCCGACTACAACGAACATATAAGCATCCGACAATTATGATGATTAGGCTGTGTGTGATTTCTATTGCGAATATATTTTAGAACTGTGCAGTGTTTGCCGATGGTAAATAGTTTTGCCTAACAAAGCCGTTCCTTTTAAAAGGGTTGGGCAACCAAAACTTATTTATCAAATTTACTCATACTTACTTTGATAATATCTCGTCTAACCAGAGAGAGAAATAAATAACAAGATCATGTAATATTATATATGTAATATATAATATGTTAAAAGGCACTGGACGCATCGGCTACTATCTTATGTCCCTGTTAATGTAACATTGTTAGTTTAGCCTATATTTGGCCTATGGTTTGCCCTTTAAATCCCATTTTTTTTGTCGACAAAAAATCTATTTTAAATTTTCTATCTTGTTGTTGTTGCACACTGTTTTAAATATTTACAAAGCAAGGACGTAAGCACATCTGAGTTTTAATATATGTTACGTTATACACACATACGTGAAAAACAAATTACAATTTGTTTACATCGTTCACATGTTAACTCACATTGAAGTGTTCTAAATTGCGTGTCCGTCAGATAGCCAGCGAAAATTTTTTACATGCCATGTAGGAAGACATTTTTCCTAATTGAAAAAGACGGTTGCATAATGAAGAAGAATAATTTATCTTTATATATAGTATATAAACGAGTATGTTCGCACACACACACACACACACACACACACACACACACACACACATCATATATTTGTCAAAATTTCCGATAGCATCCGTAAAGCTTTAGAGGAAGTGCGTTATCTACTTATCTTACATGGCCGGATCCCAAGAGAGTAATCCAGACCCATGTGCCATCGTTTCCCTAACTGAAAAAATAGTACAATACACGAAATAATTGTAACAAAGTTACAGCGAATAAATGAATATACATTCAAGGAATTCAAAAGATTCATCATTAATCCTAACTCTAGTAATTTGGATCGTTTTTGATTTATTCGATTGCCCATGCGGGCCAAAAATTTCGAATTTTTACACAATGAGATAAGTGTTTAACGTAAAGTCACGTAAATGGTGGCTATATATGCTCCAACCATCGTCCGAGTTAAGCCGAATTTTTGCTTATCTCGAAATGTTTATTTTTATAAAACTCCAGCAGGTATAGTTTGTACTCGCATCGGTATATACCAAAAACTTCGTTCCTATAGTGTTGTAAGTAACGCGTTCTTCCGCTCCATTATCGTTAAGATGGAAAGAAGATTTGAATAGACTTTCCAAAGCAAAATCGGGCTTGCTCATGAGAATTAAAAACTGATTACTTCGAACCGAGCTCTTTTTCAAGACATTCTTATGTATAGCTTATCTGAGAATACATCTTAATAGCGGACTAGCTCAACTAATATGAGAAAGGAAAAAAGAAAGAAATAAAGAAAGAGCTGAAGAACATATTATTTTTCGCTTATTGGACATCATATGTAGTATGTCTGCCCATCACTATGTATATACCGTAATAAATAAGTTAAAGTGATTTTATTTTCTTCCATCAGAAATCCATTCCAATAAGCACCAAAGAAGAAATGATTAAATTTTATAGATTGGTAAGCGGTGATAAAAGTAAGTCTAAGTAAAAGGTAACTATGTAAACCATCGAACCTTGAAATTCATTTCGGGAAGAACTCTCTTTAATACTTTCATATTTGATCGCTGGTTCTCTTGTTCATACCACATATTCATTCATTATTGAATCTTTATATGTCAAACGAAATAACAAAACTATAGATAAAAGTATTTTCACTTATCGGCAAAGATATCATAAATTTGGTACGCAAAGCAGATAACACAGAAGGCAAAAAAAGAAAGTTTTTTGCTTATTACTCATGCACACTACAGCAGAGAAAGCTGTAATAATTTCCGCGTATATTCGACGAAAGATCCAGTAGGACCTGGATGAAAACGCAAAAAAAAAAAAAAAAAAAAAATCAGCCACACCCTCACGATGCTGTACATTCATGGCTTTAGTCTTAAATTCGAAATGCACATCAAAATGTCCGCATGTCCACCCAATTGTCTGCCGGTTGGTTTTGTATTCTCCCGTTCGAAATGGCTAAAATCAACCACGCCCCTCCCACATTATTATAGAGTATAAGAATTTAATTTGTTCCCTCTATTCTTGAGTTTTCTGCTAAGACAAAGATGGTGGGTATAAAATACCCGATCACAATTGTATATAATTTTTGGCCTGCTTTTCACTAATATGATTATTTTCAGCGCTGTTGTCGCTACCTTTCTCTCAACACTGTTCAGTTCACTGTTAATAGCTTTAGTTAGACCTCGCTTTACCATTTTTTTTTTTTTTTTGATAAAACTTATATCAAATCGCTTATAAAATAGCAAGGATTAGACGTTGTTCATATGTGTTTATCCTTCTCTTAAACATTGTTATGGTTTTCTCAAACATTTCCTCGATAGCTTATAGGCAGCCGTTCGTTATACTCTTTGCAACAAACTCTTTACGCTTCTATTTTGTTCAGTTCATCACTGTCATCATCTTTCCCTTTTCAACAACAACATAAAAATCCGTAAAGCAGTGAATTGTCTTTTCAACGAATTTAATATTTTGGTAGACTAGAGAAGGAACGATATGATGCTACGAAAAGCAAGTGAAAACGCAATCGTAGCGCAAGAACGACTGTAATTGCACACAATACAACTTCACTGATTCTTGAGATAAAATACCTAAGTTATACATATCTTTTTACATATTTTTTTTTTTTTTTTTTGTATTATATACCTCCGTACCATAACTGACGTAGAGTATGATTATATTATTGCAATGTTTTTGCCAAATGGCGAGGAGAATGTTTGCAACAGACATTACACATACGACGTATAGACGGACATGCTTAAATCGATAGAAAATTTGATGCACTTTGTATGGTCTCCGAATTGCAGATTCGTTCTGGGCGTTGCAAACGTTTTGAAAAAATCAATATACCCTCGTCATCTTTCGGTGATTAGTGTTATTATTATTATTATTATAATTTTTCAGACTAATTAATATATAAATTCTTGGACTTAAACGAAGCATTGAGCATTAGCCGCAT